ACAAGTTTAAAATTTTGCCTGATACAAAGGGAGTAACTATTAAAATGTGGATAAATTCTGGTTTTATTCTCATATAGGTTCCAAATAGTTGTATAGTCATATACTCCCACCGTCCCAAAATATACTATAGTCTTTCATTTTGCCCACACACTTTTCATTTTTCAACACCTTTCTCAAACCCATATGAAGTCCAAAGTGTCAATTTGTTTGGGAGAGGGAGTGAGTATAACTATAATTCATGATTTTCTGAGCAACATAAATTTTGAATCAAAATTATGGCCTTAAAATTGTTGAGTTTGTGAAGTGAAAATAATTAATACCCACTCCCTCCCACAATTAACTTTACCATTTGACTTTTATGGTCTTCAATGTCACACTTTGACCATTATCATCCGTTATTATATCACTTATAAGTTGCAATCAAGGTCAAAGTTTATAAATTTTTATCCCAAAAGTAAATCTGTGAATTTTATTGCGGGGAAGCATAAGTGTTAAATTTGTAATTTACTCGCATTTTCTATTCGTTTATTTTTTGGGGGTAAATTCTCATTTTGTAGCGCGGATGATTGGTGAGTACATTTGATTCTTGCACTGTTTGCAGTTTACACACCAGACCAGCTGGCGGAGAAGTATAGCAACATCACATTTCTTCTGTACTGTTTGGTTTTGGTTCTAGTAGTTGCTTTACATCATTCTGTGTACAGGTAAGGGAACTGGTAGATTGGTCTTGTTAACATCATTTTTGGGTACTCATATAATAAGTATTAATATTCCATGTCATACTAAATGGGGAAACCTAATTTTGTATTGTAAGGAGAGGAGATCAGTTGTTGAATGTCCCTGGTAATGACCTGAAGCCTTATTGGCAAATTCTGCTTCCATTTTCATATGCAGTTGTGTCAGGCAGTGTTGGGTCATTTTCTGTATTGTTTGCAAAATCACTGTAAGTTTACCCAAACTTCCCATCATCTCTTTTTGATGCGGAAAAATCAGAACTCAAAACTAGCTTGAACGCCACATTTGCTTGTGTTTGCAGCTCAAACCTGCTAAGGTTGTCCATTTCAAACAGCTATATATTACACAGTTGGTTTACATACTCGACGCTTCTGCTATTTCTTAGTACAGCAGGGTTTTGGGTAACATTTATTCCTTTGCTCAATAAGTCATTACCCAAAGGTTGTATACACGAGTCTCTATTATTAACTTGTTAAGTTTATTTGTTTAAATAATGTGACTTCAGATGGCTAGGTTAAATGAAGGACTTCCTCAATTTGATGCAATACTCATCGTCCCTATGTTTCAGATTGCTTGGACCTTCTTTTCCATTTGTACAGGATTTGTGTATTTCCAGGAATATCAGGTTCTCTCTCTTTCTCTCTCTCGTGATTATGTATTGTTATTGTTGAATATCCCACATCTATTGTGTACTGGGTTTGAGGCTAGTATACAAGTGTGATTGTTTACTAGGTTTGAGACTAGTATATAAGTGCTAATGAAATCTTACTTCTTGATATTCTTTTGGTTAGGTTTGAATTAAACCCAATTTAGTACTCCCTCCATCCTGGAGTATTTGCCTGGTTTCTTTTTAGCACAAAAACAAGGTGGGGAGAATAAAGGGAGGACATGGTACAATTACACTTACTTTTGGTGGACACCCTTAATTGCACGGTTTGATTTTAAAAAATGAAACCCAAACTTTATTGAAATGCTCATGTGCTTACTGCTTAGTACATTTTGAGTCGATATTAAAGTGTATTGTACAATGACCATTTGCAGTTATTGCCAAAATTGGCGACTTAACTTTTCTAAAAGTGGAAACTATTACCCTAATTTTTTCATGGCAGAAACTCTATAAAAACTATCTTCTGATACGCAACTATCTTCACTATCATCTTCTCTGCTACTCCTTCCACCATGTCTGTTTCAAGATTGTCTTCTTCATCCACCCAACCTGAAACAGAAACACAAAATCAAAGAACTACAAACACACACAAATTGTCGGATGAAAATAGAGCTGACATCATTCAAATCCTTCATGAACGCATAAAGAAAGGGAAGCCAAGCAGAGGTGTTGTGCCAGATTGATCACAATTCAAGTGTAGTATCTCACGGAATGTATGTATGCCACATTGATGGTTTTGCGCTCACCAATAGTGAACAAATTAACAAGTGGCAGTATTTTTATGGATTACTGTGTGAAACATTTAAGGCGTGGAAGTTATCATAAGCGGGGAGAAAACACTGCCTTGCTAAGCTCATTTAAGTTTTGTACTTCAACATTCGTAAATGGAGTGACAATTCAATGTATGTGATAAACCTAGACCACAAAATGGGGGTTATACTACGCAACTTCATCATAGACCAGTAACAGAAGCGCATGGAAACAAGAATGATAGACCAAATTCAAAACTCGCCTTCATCATATACTAAAAACAGAGAACATAGAAGAGTCACTGCTAAACATGCATAAACATGAGCACATAAAAGGGTATGCCTAAAAGGGTCCTCACTTTTATTTCAATGTTCTCTCACAGATTGAAAGGACAATTCATCATTTAGTTCCATTCTCTCTCACATTTAGGGCCTTCACAGTTAGTTCCTCCAAATCTTTGGCGTCAGAAAGAATTTTAGCACTGTGCTCATCTTTATCTTTGGAGTTAAGAATAATTAGGGGCTGTTTGTTTCAGCCTCTTAATGGTTCAGATGTCTGAATGGTTCAGCACTTAATGGTTCAGACTGTTTGTTTCGTGAGCAGATGTCTGAATGGTTCAGACATTTGCCTCCGAATGGTTAAGTATTATACAGAGTCTGAATGGTTAAGACCTCTTATCTGAATTGATCAGACATTTGCCTCTGAATAGTTAAGCAATATACTAGCACTTAATGGTTCAGACCTCTTATTGGTTCAACACTTACCTATTCAGAAGTTGCCAAACAGCCCCTTAGATTGTATCCATCCTCCATACTCGTACGGATCTTGGGAGTCAGGAACAGTCATGACTTTATTCTCCACATTTCAACGTATAGATCTCTGTCGCAAGGATGTTCTTCGGTGTCCAAGAGGGAGAAGATTCCATCACTGGCAGCAAAGGGCGACTCATCGTTGGGGCGGAGACTGTCGCACCATCTTCAACAGAGGGGATTTTGTTAGGATCATTGTCTTCAAGCTTGGTTTCTGGGATGAAAGAGGGTAATTCACCAGAGAAGACATCACAACCACAACCCATCTTAAATATTGGGTTTGAGATGGGCATTGTGAAAAACACGTGTGACAGATGGCATGTGAATAAAGAAATTAGTGAAAAAGGAAGGTATGAGTCTATGAGATGAGTTTGGTGAGGGCATAATAGATGAGGGCACAATAGACTTTTCATGTTATTTTTATTTGCCTTAAAAGGAAAGTGGATGAATACTCTGGGATGGCTAAAAAAATACGGGATGAATACTCTGGGATGGACGAAGTAATTATGTTTTCAATGAAAATATTTTGCATAATCATCACCTTTAAGTTAGGATGGGATGGTTGATTTGGATACTGATTAGGTGGGGGATATTAAAGCAGGTGTTTGATGCTACACGGACGACAATGTTTGTTCTCGGTATGATTTGTGTTTTCATAGGCATGTCTTTGCTTGCCCCAGATGAATCCAAAGGTTTGTCAATAGTTCAGTGAAGTTTTACCATCATATACAATTTCGATGCATACACAGATCATAAAAGAAAGACTACCTCTGTTGTGAACATTTTTTCAGGAACTGAAACCACCAAGGATAGCTCTCTTGTTTCAGCTTCAAGTCTTTCAAATGATTCGGAGAGGTAAGTCAATCCTCCACATTTCTTTGGATTGGAACAAATGTAATCTTTGAACAATTCTTTATTTGGTAAAGATGTGCAACGTGACAGGCTAATTATGCCTCTGGAAGATCCTCAAATTAAGGGCGTGAAATCATTTTTACGTGTTATGCTGATCAAAGCTATAGATCTGCTTGTCACAGCAAAGGTCTGTATAAACTCCTCGTACTTAATTCTTTTCTCCAGTTGAGAAGGGTTGGGCACGGTTCGGTATGGGCATCGATCCAATTTCCAAAAGTTTTGGACTGCATTTTTAAAGGAAATGTCACGAGGAACCAGGAACTGGATCGGCTGGTCCGGTTCTAACAGTGTTTTGGTCAGGGAATAGGCTAAACAACCAGGATGGTGTCAACCCCTACTTTTGAGACAACTTTCATGGCTATATTTGATTTGTAACAATTAAAAAAAGAAAGATTAAAAAGAATGTTGTTTATGTATAGGTTGCTGCATGCTCAGTAACATTAGGAGCATTTGGAGACGATTCTCTACATGCATCTTCAGTGCTGGTGATGCCCATGGTGTCGTCCAAAATAACATCGGGTTTCCGAGGAAATGCCCTTGACCACCAAGCTCAACATGAATTATTCCCTTTCAGGGGCGGCGGTGGCCATGGTTGGAGAACACTTTCCATGGACGACAGTGATGACGGTGAGATGACTCTGGCGCAGTCCCCTGCTGCTGCATCAACGTCATCTCACAGTACATTGTGATGAGAATTGGGATAAAAGACATGATTTTATATTTTAACACGTTCTTTATGCTCTGCCTGTAAATCATTGGTGTTGTATAAATAGTTAGCTTTGTAAGAGTGTGGGAGGGGGGGGGGGGGGGGGGCTCAGGGAGATCTTTATAACCCACTGTTTGCAGTGATTGTGAAGTGAAACCATTTTGTGATAAAAGTAATGGAAAAACGGTAGGACACCAGTTTTGCGTATTAGGTTGTGAGTGTGGTGTTTTGAAGTACTGGACGGTTCTCAATGAGTGAGTCCTAAGAGTACAATGGGCAAAACAAAAAACTTGACAGGCTTTCAATAGACCTTATCAATTTAGTAGAGAGCATGCAATAAGATAAGATTCATAACTTGAATGACCATCACACTACTTGATGTGATGCAAATGCAAAACCAGTGGTGGGAGGAAGGGGTGGTGGCAGTGGTCAAAATTGATTAGGCAAGCATGAAGTGTCTAATATTGGAGTACAAAAATTCCTGTCTGTCTCTCTAATTGATCCAAGCACAACTACTCGAGAGTCTAGATAGATAGATAGATAAAAAAAAAGTGCAACATTTCTCTTTCTCTTTATAACTGACTAATCAGGCAGATTAAATTGGAAACCACAACAAAAAAAATAATCAATTGCAATAATTGCATACATCAATCTGTCTGTGACTAGTAGTAAGATGGAAAAGATCTCACAGCACCACCAGCTTAGAATGAATTCTTCCATGCCGCGCTGCCGGCAACTCACACTCTGAGAATCTGAAGCTTGTTGGCGAAGGCAATAGCAACCCAATCAGGCTGCGATGAAGACCACTGAAGCTGTTCGATCTCGGCACCCGCGGTGTAAGCAAGGATGGGATCCAACCCCCCTTCTGCGCCGGCAATGGGCTGCTGACCCATGGAGGATAGGTCCCATATCAGGGCCTGGGAGTCGTCCCCCGCGGTGCAGATGTGGCAGGAGCTGTGGGGAGCCCACGCTATCGCGTTCACACCCGCCTGGTGCCTCTGCAGCTCCACCACCGGCAGCGTGGGGAATCTGATGTCGAGAACCACCACCTTGGAGCTGTCCATGATGATGGTGGCCATGTACCTGGGGTCCTGCTTGTTCCACCCCAGGCGCACCAGCGGGGTCTCCGGCTCTGAGCTCTCGTATATGATGGTGGAGTGTTCCTTGTCCCGGAGGTCAAACACCCTGACTGAGCCATCTGCAGAGACCGAAGCGAAGACCCCAACCCCTCCCCAGGCTATGTCGTACACCTCCTTGTCGTGGGCGATCAGCTGGGTGTCCACCGTCTCCCTCTCGATGTCCCAGATGGTGCAGGTGGTGTCGATGCTGGAGGTCCCGATCCGCCTGGGCTCCGCGTCGTTCCAGTCGAAGGAGGTGAGAGGGCCGGAGAAGTCGCTGTTGCGGTTGTTGTTGAGGACGCTCTTGGGCTCCACGCGGGAGCCGTCGTCGGCGACCCGCCAGATCCGGAGGTAATCGCTGGAAGTGGCGAGGAGGTCGGGCTTCTGGCACTCCTTGTCGGGGATGAAGATGGCTCTGGTGGGAGGGTAGGGGTGGTCGAAGGAGAGGTTCGGGTCGGAGCGGATCTCGCCGTTGGAGTCGTCGAGCTGAACGATCTCGACGCGGTTGGGGTACTGTTCGAGCAGGCTGGCGATGGCCAGGCGGTACTTCTTGTCCTTGCGGACGCTCCAATTCATGGCGTAGATGTGCCACGGTGCCTCGTACGTGTAGATCTCCGACCGCCGCTGCTGTTCGTCCGAGCCCCCCTCCGCCGCGCTGCTGTTCGTGCGACCCCCCATTTCTTCTGCTTCAATCTCCACCCCCAAACCCTACAACGCTGCTTTTTTCTGCTGCTTCTCTCCACGGAGTACTAGAAGAATCTAATCGTCATCTCTCTCTGATCGGAGGAATTTTGATTGAATCTAAGGATCGGAAGAGTTGTCTCTGAGCCGCCGCCGCCGCTGCTATCCATACGGGATATAGATGGTTTGATGATCAGCTGGTGCAATAAACTCGCTATTTGACCACCTCAGTTCATTTGGTTTGTCCAACTGCCATAAAATTGGGACTAGAAAGTTTTTTCCATAAAATCAAGAGTACTAGAAAAGAAGAGAATTTTGTCAATTTTACTCTTTGAGCTTAACATTTTTGAATACATATTTTCAATCTAAAATTTCGAGTGCTTAGGTTTGTTGATTTTTTTTTAGTTTTTAAAAACAAGAATTCAGAATAACTTTATGAGCAATGTACACCACCCCTTCTCCACCACACATTTTTATTTGATTTTTATTTACTTATTTTTTTAAATTTTTTTGCCTTTTTTAGTGGATAAAGAGAGGATGGGGGACATATAGGGTACATTTTTCTAACTTTATTGAGATAGTGATTTGGAAAATGGGAAAGTGAAAAAATTGGTTAAAGTGTAGAGAAAGGAAGGAGGGGGGGAGAGTGTACCTTCCTCATGGAAGAAGAGAGAAGAAAGGGAGAAAAAGATTAATCTCATTGAATTATAAATTGAGAAAAATTAGTATTGTTTAGAGAGTGTTTTTATGGTGTACTTTGGGTGTATATTATTTTTGTAAATCTTCTTACACAAATCATATTTTTTAAAAAAAATTATTAAAAAAAAGATGGTTATTTTGCTTATATGTAGGTCTATGGTGAACCTTAGTTTCACCATAGGATTTGCTTTATTAAAAATGAGGGCTTTGTCTCTTTTATTGTGCACCTTTGGTGCATATTGTTTTTGTGGATTTTCTTGCATGTTTTTTTTAATTTTTATTAAAAAATAGATGTTTATTTAGGTAGTAGGAAAAATATTTATTTTACGTATATGAAAGTCCATGGTGGGTGAACTTTAGATCCACCGCAGAATTTTCTGTTAAAAATAGCACTTTTTAGATTTATGAAAATGAAATTTAAAATTTAAGTTTATTGAAACACAATAATAATAGTAATAGTAATAGTAATAGTAATAGTAGTAGTAGTAGTAGTAATAATAATAATAATAATAATAATAATAATAATAATAATAATAATAATAATAATAATAATAATAATAATAATAATAATAATAATAATAATACTCCGTAATACTCCCTCCGTCCCCCAGTTTTTCTCCAGTTTCATTTTTACACACAATCCAATGCACTTCTTTAATCCATTTTATTTTGTAATTTGCATATTAAAAAATTATAGAAATTACCCGGAGTATATATTAATAATCTACTCCTTATATGTTAAAACAAATCAAACAAGATCATACATAACTATATTTAGGCTTACACATTGAGAGAATTTGATGAATCAAAGTGCTTAGATGAACAGTTCCAAAATTCAAAAGTGGACAAAAACTGGGGAATAGAGGGAGTACTTTGTACAAAAAATTGCTGTCAGGTACCCCCTATTTTGCAATAAAGACTGGCAGGTCCCATGTTTTTAAAATATATCATTAATGACTAATGAGCCGTCCATTGCACCGTTTGAGGTATTAATTTGTCGATTATATCCCTGGTTAATTTGTCGATTACCCAGAAAAGCAAAAAAGAAGGGTGTAATATCTCCTTCTTCGATCAAAAGCAACTTCCTCTTATAGCACTGTGATGATTGCCTTCCTTTAAAAGCTTCTCCATGGTAAGTAAATAGCTTCCTTATTGATTAGCATACACATTTCTTCATCTGCGAATCCCATTTTTTCCTTCATAATGTTTGATTATACTGAACATGGTTTAGGGTTTATCAAGTATCTTGGATTTATCATATTTCTTTTCGAATTGACTGAATATGAATATAGGGTTACTCAAATTCTTGTTCAATTTTACTGAACAACATGAATCTATGAATTTTTATTTTTCTATTTAATTTTGGTGAACAGGAATACAGCATTTTCATTGTTAAAATTTGTTTTGTTTTGTCAAATTTGTGTTGTTCTATCAAAATTGGAGCCAAGAGTTCCTAATTTTATTATTTTTCTTGTGATGAATGGACAATTGTATATACTTCACATTTTTTTTGTGTGTGTACTTTAGGCTCCATCAGAATTTAGAGTGTGTGTGAAAGATCAATGCATTGTGATAGCAGATATTGATTTGGATATTTACTTCACCAAAGATCTGTATGAAGATGTTATTTTAAAAGCTAAAGAACAGAATGTTAGTCTTCCCAGGTTTCTTGGTTTTACATACCATCCTCCCAATAAAGAAATTCAGAAACTGCCATTAGCTTCTGATTTAGATTGGATAAAGATGATTGAGGTTTGGGGTGTAGTTTCTTCAACTTACATTCCCTTATATGTGATTGAGCTGCAAGAGCCTAGTTCATTACAAAAAATGGCTGAGAAACTTGATTCCAGTACCCAAAATTTTAATGAGGGCAGTGACAGTGAAGTTGAGTTTTGGGTTGACAATTTGCTTGTAACACCAACAAGTTGTAGTGACATTCTTGAAACTGAACTAAATACTGGTTACAAATCTAAGTTAAATGTGAGGAGGCAAATCAATAGGAGGACTGAAGTGCAGCTCCAACCATCTCTCTTACACCCTGAAGATGTATCCATTACTGATTCCTCTCCACAGGTCTCACCGATTACTGCAAGACCTGATAAAAGCCCTCGAGAGGAGTTTGTCAATGATGAGATACTTAAAAACAAGAAAACAAAGCATGTGGGGGGAGAAAGAAAACTATTTGAGAGGACTGAATTTAATGTGAAACTCTTGACAAAGGAATTGAAAGGCCTAGAAGCTTATGACATTTCAGCCCTGAGTAAACCCCAAATTCCTCCAGAAGTTCCTTAGATGTATTCTTTGAAGAGCCTGTTCTGCCATCTCAAAGTGAAGGTCTAAATCGGGATGGTTTGTAGACTTTAAATGTTTCTTCTTTCTCTTTGTGACTGGTTTGAACTGGATTGTGTATTGGCTTGCATTTCTCTAATTGAACATCCCTTATTACTCCGTATTAAAAAGACATTTTTTTCACATTGAACATGCCTTCCAAAGTTCATCACAACAAATACATAAATTGCGCGTACATAAAAATTACAAACACCACTTCACTACAAGTACATAAATTCAGATCACATAAACAATACAAACACTGCAATGTTGAGCACAATTGCTACACCAAAGCCGAACAGAAAAGCTCCAATCCTCTTGTCTTTGATACGCTTCTTTAAGAACTTTATTTCTTCGTCTTTGGCATTGCTCTTCTTTAGAAGTTCGGGAATTATCTTCTTAGCTCGATCACATATTGGAGGGTCAAGCCATTCCCAATAACGACATTTCTGAGTACCCTATTTAATACCAACCAACATTATCAATAAAGAACCAATGTTTTTCTACAAGGAAAACAAAATTATATTAGTTACATTTCCATCACACTTCCACATTCTTCTTCCGGGATTTTTATCAGTCCACGAAGTAAGAATACTCATCTCTTTCCCACACCTACAAGCAGGCACCTCTAACCATTCACCATAATCACAAACTCTTCTTGATGAGGCGAAAGAGTGGCTACTACAAATATCAAACCACGAAAGCTATAGTTATATGTGAATTATTTACCATCATTCATATTAATAATATTGGGGTTTATACCTGTTTAGATCCATTACTCGCCAACGAGAAGATTGAGTTCCAATCTAGAATAAAATGTCGTGCAAAATGAATAAATCCCAAACTCATAACAATCAACTAACAAAGGGAAATATTGTTAAAAATTAACGAGTGTTTTTCAATACCTGGAAAAACTCAGTGCCTCGTCTCTCTCCTTCGTCTTTCTGGTCTCGTCTCTCTCCTTTGAAGCTTCTGCGCAAAATTAAAACCCTAGGTTGGCGTCATAGTGGAGCATTAGAGAGGAAAGATTGAGGGTTAAATTGGGAATTTCAATACCTTTTAATATTAAATTAACCGGAGTCAATACCTCAAACGGTGCAATGGACGGAACTCACCTCTTTAGTCATTAATGATATATTTTAAGCCCCCAATAGTATATTTTATAAAAACATGGGACATGCCAGTCTCTATTGCAAAATAGAGGGGACCTGCCAGTCTTTATTTCTACTTTGTAATTAAAAGTTTAATTACTAAAAGAAAAATTTAGAGCAACATTGTGGGCCGATCTACCTTTAGGCCTATTGTTGAATTAAAAAGTAAGCCCAGTTGAGAATGGACTACTGAGACCGAGAATGGTTTAACTGTTCAAGCTTGATGATATCTCACTTTGCAGAAGACGAAGTCTGTCTCTCTCTCTCTCGAGTAGTGTGGATCTGATGACGAAGCAGCAAGCAAACTGGTCTCCTTACGACAACAATGGAGGGTAATATATTCTTTACTTCTCTATCGTTATGGTTGAATATTTTGCAATTCGCTAGTATCATAAATTCAAACAACTTGTGCAGAACCTGCGTGGCGGTCGCCGGCGCGGATTACTGCGTGATTGCGGCGGATACTCGGATGTCCACTGGCTATAACATCCTCACACGCGATTACTCCAAAATCATTAAACTGTAAACGTTCCTTCTCTCTTTTTTTACCTTATCACTTTTCCCTCTCATTGTACATTGTGTGGGAGGAGAGGGTTTGGGTGTTTGAGTACAAATATTAGCTCACCTCCAAAAAAATCTCTCAATAACAACTAACAAAGTCTTATCCCACTACGTGGGGTCGGTTACATGGATCAAATGATGCCATTGCACCCTCTCATCTACCTAGGGGTGTAAACGGATATTAATCGGATACGGATTTTGACGGATACTGAAAATCAAAACCGTATCCGCATCCGTCGGATATCGGTCGGATATCGGATATATCCGTATCCGTTTCCAAATTTTAAAATCAAATTAAACAATACTTTAATTTTAAATTAGATTAAAGTCAAACTATTATTAAATCAACTATAATTTGGTATGGGATAATTATTTTCTTTGTTTTCATGATTTATGATATTCTACGATAACTTTATATGATAACAGCACACATATACACATATTTTTATGTCTGTATATATTTTTATGTGTCTATACATTTATTTTGTATATAAAAATGTCTTATATTTTGAAATATCAATAGAGAAACAAATTATAAACATAAAAAATTAGGAAAAACTATATATAACGGATCGGGTATTCGGATAAATGGTTATTTAAACGGATGCATATTCGGAGCGGATTTTAAACGGATCGGATATACAATTACCAAATCCATATCCGTTTAGTAATCGGATATCCTTAATCGGATACGAATAATATCCGTTTAAAACGGATGCGAATATTTTCTCTTTAAACGGATACGGATGCGGACGGTAACCTACATCTACCATATCTGCATCAAGTTAATGTGATATCATTTTCCTATTCGGATAAAAGGAATCTATTGAAAGATAAAGATCACACATTTCCAGCGGCTTTCTTATCTTTTTCATACAATGTTTTTATCTATTTTAAAACATTGTTCTAGAAATTGGCCTAGGCAGAACCTACCTCCGTATTTGATGATAATAAACTAGCAACAGACATATGCTGCATAAAATGCGAGGCACTTGATGCTATCTTTCTTTTTTCGAGTTTTTATTTGTTACTTTTTTCTTTGATTCAAAAGTTATAGTTTATGATCACTGAACTATATAATTTTTTATGATAAGCTGGTTTTATAACATGAAATATCCTATTAAATCATGTTAGATGCTAATACACTTTAATTTTAAATATCTCAAATTAGTTTATTTGCCTATTTCTAGGCAGTGGTTAGGAGGCCATCCTCCCCTCTGGCGCAAATCACCTTTAAGGACACTGCTTCTTAGCAGATTCACCCTTTTGATATGCCAATGCTATTGATAGAAGATACTAAAAAGATTGGTACATGCAACCAATTGGAAAAAAAGTTGTTGCAACTTTGAAGCATAATAAAAAAGCATTTGGGGGGGGGGGGGAACTCTTGAAGTCAAATAGCATCCTAGGTAGATTGGAATTACATCCTCAAACTGTGGGTTTTTTTGTGTCGGTAGACTGTGATGGTTCTTCATGTAAACAGAACATGATATGTTCTATAGGACCGTACTTCTAAATCCTTAACTCTAAAGAGACAATATACAACGTCTACGGCTGCCTTGAAATTTCCCATGGCATTTGAGATGCTGTAAGTGATTTTAGTGTAAGAAAGTTGGGAGGGGTGACAACGTTGCATAGCAGGATTATAAGGAATGGGATACGATGAACGCGAAGAAACTTGATAGATTTAGTGAATTGTGTGAAACATGCTTTCAGATTAAAAGTATTTTGAGGTATACCAAAATACTTCAATCAGATCAGATAAGACGTAAGTATCTAGAATGAGTATGGAAGTTTCGTGTTTCTCGAACTTACCCTGGACTCCATATGTATAGAGCAAATTTTGAACGATGCGTCTGTCGTGAAACATCACAACTTATTGTTAAACATTCGAATGTATATAGCGGTTAACATGCAAATAGATGCTTCTAAAGTTTTGCACGAACTGTCATATTTATTGGCGAAACATTCGAATGTTTAATGCTAAACATTCGAATGTTATGTTGTCGTAAAGGAAGCTGGGCGCTCCACACCTCCAAACTCGTCAACAACGTCTATTAAAATTTTGTCCGATCTAAATAAATCCAATTACATAAAATAGTTGATACTAAAATCACCAAGAATTAGTTCTTTAAGATGCTACACAATCACTCTAATCATTGGTGTTTTTTGATGTGTATAATATTCTTTAACCTTGTCTTACATTTGCTGTTTCAGAGCAGATAAGTGTGTGATGGCTTCATCAGGGTTTCAGGCTGATGTGCGCGCTTTGCAAAAGGTTTTGGCAGCCAGACATCTGGTAAGCTGTCAGGAATCTCTTAATAGGATTTTTCCACCTTCCTATTATTCTCCAAATATGCATGGATATCTTCCATACCATTGACTATCTTTTGTCAAAATCTGTCCAATGTAATCTGTTTAGGATGCCAATCATGCAATGGAGTGTAATCTGATTGTTTGGATGATGATATTTCATTTTTCCTGTGAATTTCTAAGATAGATCACGTATGATGTGCAGTATAGGGCCTATCATATTGTACAACTACTAGGGTCTAGGGATTTTTTCGTTATCCATTATATTCATCATTATGAATACCTTAATCTCAACCAGTTTAGGTGAGTGGGATAAGCACTTTTGGGGGGGGGGTGGTCGGGTCAGGGGCATTAATTTATAGAGCTATATTTTACATTAAACTCATGTAAAAAACATAGAGGCAATATTTTACGATGGATGTTATGCAACCTCACAGGAAGGAAACGAGATGAACATTTTAAAACCACCATCATCATAGGTTATATCCACATACATGCACATCATGAGACAGCAATGCGTTCAGTTATTTGCTATTGTTATGCCCATTACATGATTGATATTACAACTCTTATGTTGTGTAATTCAATTGATGATTTTTATGTTTTTTTTCCATAAAGATTTATCAACATCAGCACAACAAGCAGATGAGCTGCCCCGCAATGGCTCAGTTAGTTTCAAACACATTATATTACAAACGGTTTTTCCCTTACTACTCTTTCAATGTCATTGGTGGCCTTGATAATGAAGGTAGCAGCATATTACATGCCCAATTTTAGTTATAGGTGTACTATCTTTTTTACATACTGCTCCTTCTGGATTAATATGAAAAATAAGTGACATTCTATTAATGTTTTGTTACTTTTTTAATTTCAGTTACCTATATCTCCAAAACTCTAAACATATTAAATGACACTATTTTGTATGTTTTAGATCCCCACTAAGTTACTTACCATAAAAAACTAACTTTGTTTTTCAACTTCAAGGGATATAAAGATGCTTTATACTGCTGTATCTAGCCTCCCTTTTATTTAAATATGGAAGCAACTTGTAAACCATCCATTGATACCAATCATGCATCTTTTTATAATTTACTGGTAATGACACCTAGCTTTGTTTT